TTTGGGAAATGAGTTCAAGAAACATTTATCTTTTTTCACCAATTCTACTATTCCACATTTTAGCTTGTCCATTCTCTAATTTCTCTTTCTTACCCTCAAAGGTAGACCATAAGTCCTAGACCTGATCAGAGCTCCAAGTGGACACGGATGCTTTCTCTGAACCCCACAGGCAGCAAACGTGCCTCTCTCTGCTCTGATCAGTTCAGAGCTGTGGGCCCTGGGCCCGAAGCTTCCTTAAACATCCACGTCTTTCCCTTGGTATGACATGACCTTGATTGGCCGTGCATGGTGACACACATCTATATTGCCAGCACTTTGGGAGGCCATGGTGGGAAGATTGCTTGAGGCCAGGAGTTCTAGACTAGCCTGGGCAATATGGCTAGACCCCACACCACATCTGTACAAAAAATTGAAATGTCCTTGTTGATTTGAGGTCTAAGCTCCTTGCTGGGTTTCCTCAACACAATGACACTTCAGGGCCGTTTTTCCCCTTTTGGTCTCTCTCTCTTTTTAAATTGTTTTATAATTTGTGTAAATATATGGATTGCAAGTATAATTTTGTTACATGGATATATTGCATTGTGGTGTAGTGAGGGTTTTCAGTGTATCCATCGCTGGAGCAGCATACGTTGTACCCAAGAAGTAATTTCTCATCCCTCACCCCACTGCCACCCACCCTCACTCTTCCAAGTCTCCACTGTCCATGATCCCATACTCATACACACAGGAGCTGAGCCTGGGGGCATCGGTGAACACAATGACACTGGGGCTCCCACTCTCATGGGAGTTCCTCTAGAAAGATTGCTGGAGCCATCAGGGCAGATACACAACAGAGAAATGAAGAATTTGGAAGAGATGTACATTCTCATATATTTAGTGTGACCATATAATTTATCATCTAAAGTGGAGCATGTTTGGTAGTCAAGGGAATGCTGCTAATAATTACACTCAGACAACAAATGCAAAGTGGGACACATGTTTACTCACCTGTGTCCCATCCTGGGGCCTCATCTCCAAGACCTGGGAATGAAGAGGGTTCAGACTTGCCTGGATCCTGCCACTGGCCCCAGGCCCCTTGGCTGTGGGCCCTTTTGCTCCAGAGGCAGGGGCTCTGCAGTGCAGGTGGGATACTCCTGTCTTGGGCTTGGAGGCTGCATGCAGTTCCAAGCCTTAGGGTTGAGGCTGTAACCTCAGGCTATGTGTAGGGCTCTGTCTCCAGCTTACGGTCCCCTCCCCTTGAGGGCTCTGCCACCCTTGTACCCCCATGCCAGCCACAAGCCACAGCACCGCACAGGCACTGAAGAAATGGTGGTCACAGGGCGTGGGGCAACGCTCCGAGCATTGTGAGCCTTCATCCCACATCTGTCCTACCAGGTCAGTGACCCAGCACCACAGGCCTGGCTTATGCCCCCATCGCCCCAACCTCCATTCTTTAAGGTTTCTTTGGGTCTGCCTTTCGGACAGAACAATTCTTATTTCCTACATGCAGGAAGAAAACTCTAAGTTTATCTTAAGATCAGTAATTCCTCTTTTAGTGCCTCCCCCATCCCATACTCAGGTCTTTCTTTTGGGCCGTGATTTCAAGCCCGTGTCATTTCACCGCCAGTCTCCTTCTCCCGTGGTGTCTTTGACTGATATTAGGCCCCTAGCCCTGGCTAATGTGAGCCCCAATTCTATTATCTGTGATGTGTGAATGATAGATTCCACCTTAGAATAGGGCTGTAAAGACCCTATCTTTCACCATATACAAAAATAAACTGAAGATGGATTAAAGACTTAAATGTAAGACCTGAAGGCATAAAAATTCTAGAAGAAAATGAAGGAAAAACTATTTGTGATTTGGCCTAGGAAAAAAATTTTTGAATAAGACACCAAAAGCAATTTCAACAAGTGCAAAAATGAAAAAAGGACTGAATTAAATAAAAAGCTTCTGCACAGCAAAAGAATT